TCCGCTCCCCTCCCGCCACACTGCTTGGACCTTCCTGTCTTATAGGATATTAGGCAGCCCCTCCATTTTATGGCGTTAGCATTAACTATACTTTGGGGACATTTTGGGACTTATCATCCCCCCCCCCCTTTCTAGTTGTTCTTTCCTCCTTTCAAAGGTAGAATGACAAAACAGTGGAATCTGCTTGTCAAATGCACACAGTGGGTGCCAAACAGCTCCCAGAACAGAATATTTACTCCTCATTGTGAACATGCTTGTCAGCCTTCAAGATTTTCTCCCTTTGCTTTGCATCTTTCGGCTGTCAGAAGTAGGTTGGGGGGGGAGGGGGGACATGGTTAGGGGAAGTGAGCTGGAGGTGTTACAAAACGGAACTGTATAAATTGGGAGGGGAAGGTCCTTGCTTAGGCTTCTACCCTATGCGCAGCTGCAACCCTTTATCAAACTATGTCAAGGTCAACAGACAGAAGCCTCATCACCCCCTGGAGAGGCCCACATGATGCTATACACAACTTTTAATTGGAAGAACCGTTTGAACTATTGGGGGTGGGAACGTTGCCATCACTTTGTGTGATGTGATTTACGCGCTGATTTTCTCAGATTCAGAATTCTTTTGTTGCTACCGCTTGACTTCCAGTAAAAGATATATTTTCTCTAATTAATGGAGTCTAAGTATTTCTTTCTTGGATTTTGAATGGAGCACCATCTGACAATGCTGTTCCTACTGCTCAGACTGTGCTGCACACAGGCTGCTGCCAAGGGACTCCCCGGGACCGGTGCTCATGGGGAGGGGGCTTTCCTTCCGATGTTGCACCACAGGAGTGGAATTTGTGAGGTCTGGGTTGGGGCACGGCACCTTTGTGCAGCCTGTCCAGGCTCACACATTCAAATTTTACATCTGAGCCAATCCACCAGCTCAACAGAGGCACAAAGAGCGGATAATTTCCATGCTGACCTCAGCCAAGGAGCCATCACAGCCTCCCCTGCCTTCCAATCACATGCTGGTTGCTTTGAGGGGTGACCTGGGCCTGAAGTCCAACGGGAGGAGCCCACAGTTCCCATGTTATCTTGGCCAGACCCACCCAGGGGGTGCAGGACTTGGCTTCCCTCCCAGCCGGAGCTGCAAGAGGGTTGTTGTTCGGCCGGAGGGGGGTGTCTTCTCAGCAGCGGCAGCCCTAACCAACTGAGCTCTCAGCTGTGGAGCAGGGTATCCGGTCACAGCTGGGATCTCTGGAGGGTGGCCTGCTTGGCTCCCCCATCCTTCGTCATAGTTGCCGAAAGGCCTAAAACCTTGCAGAGGATGGGATCCCTTCCTTTGCCCACCTCGTCTCAAGGATGGACATCAGGTTGACTGCAGGGCGTCATCCATCCTATGGTGGTTAGACAATGGTGGGTTTGTGCTCGGGGCTGTGAGCTTCTGGCTGCCCCCTTGAAAGAGGGCTGAAGCAGACATCCTAATGCAGGGATGTCAAACTCAAGGGCCATGGCCTGGATCTGGTCCATGGTGCTTCTGCCAGGGAAAACAGATCTTTCACTAGCAGAGGTTACAGGAGGCCGTCGCAGCCATAAACAGAGCTTGGTAGGCAAAGCGCTGACAAGTGACATCAAGCTGGCCACGCCCACCCTGGTCACGGTTACCCCGGCCCCCTGAGGTCACACACAACTTGAAGCGGCCCTCAATGAAATTGAGTTTGACACCCCTGTCCCAACACAGCCAGGAGGACGTGCAGATGGGAGATTTGGGGACCTATTGTCATTCCACCATGAGAATTTCTGGACTATCGGACAAAATGGACATCTTGGAGATGAGGAAGGGAGGTTTTCTTAAATAGTGACCAATGGTGGGATTCAATTTTTTTTTTTTACTACCGGTTCTGTGGGCGTAGATTGCTGGGCGTGGCAGGGGAAGGATACTGCAAAAATCTCCCCTCAGAAGGTGGTATTTGCTGGTTCTCCAAACTACTGGAAATTTCTGCTACCGGTTCTCCAGAACGCTTTGGCTCGTGGTTCTGGGATGGTGTGAGCCAAGGAGAGGCCCATCTCTGAGCATTTCCGTTTCCTTTTGCCTGGGGCCGTGCTGGCAGCTGAGCTCCGGCCATCAGCCCCTTGTCCACTCAGATCTGCCCTCTGCTCTTCCTTTCTGGCTGCTGGATGTTCCGTGGTCTTCCAGGGATAGATTAACACGGCCCCACTTGTGAATGCCTATTTTGCTTCAGGGAGGTGAGAATGGAGGGCCATGACACCCCCCCCCCCCCCCTCCCAAGGATGGCTTTACGCTGGGTGAAAAGCTAGTCTAACGGCCCATGTAGCTTAATGTAAGTAAGTGTAAAGCTGTGCACTCGGGGGACCTGGGAGGGTCTCCCTGCCCCAACTTCACACAGGCACTGAGCGGGTCTGAAACTGACAAACTGCCAAGAGATCTGGGGGTTAAACTGGAAAACTCAAGAAGAGCCAGCTCCGTCTAATACTTAACGCTCCAGGCTAAAAACCAGGAGATTCTGAGTTCTAGTCCTGCCTTAGTCATGAAAGCCACCCAAGGGGGGCGGGGGGGGGGGCCGCTTTGGGCCTGTCCTTTCCCCCAGCGCCCCCCCCCCCTCAGGGGGCTGACGTGGAGAAAATAAGAGGAAGGGGTATTACTTACGTTCACTCCCTTGGTTATTTATAAAAGTAATAAAGGCAGGATAAGAAAATCCAAAGACTATGCTGACTCAGCATACGGGGGCATATGAGGAAAGGGATTAAAAGCAAGACAGCCAATGCTATTATATTCACCCTATTCAAACGTGTAACGCATTTCATTGCGGTCCTGCCTGGAGCTCTGGCAACCCGGTCTGGAGAATGGTGCGACAGAGGTGAAAAGCGCACCGGGGAGGAACCCAACCGGGGCACAGAAGCGCCTGGGGGGAAGAAGGCAAGAGCTGGGTGAGGGCTGGCGGGGAAAAGGTCCGGGAGTGGGGCTGGAAGGGATTTCTTCTCCACGTGGGCTGCAATGATGAGCAGAGGTTAAACTCCAGGATTCACGCCGGGCCAATAATCACCAAGAAGGAAACCACCCCGCAGTCTGGGAACCGCCAGACAAGCCAAGAGGAAACAGCCCGAGCGAAAGACCCGCAAGGAGGGACTCGAAGGACATCGGCGGAGAGCAAACCCTTCCTCCCTACTGGTGGTGCTGAGGGTGTTGTCCAGTTGGGTCACGGAACGTCTGCAAGAAAACCAGCCTAGCCCGGAGGGCACCAAGGACCCGCCTCCCCCCCCCCCCCCCCAGTGGACCCCCCGCCACAAAGGTTCCCCCCCCGGGGCCCGCCCCTCCCCGGCGCGGCCCGCAGCGGGCCCCGAGGGGAGAGGGCGCCCCTCGCACCCCGCCCGACCCTCCTCCGCCTCGGCGGGCGCCCTCCCACGATCCGCCGCTGCGGGCAGCAGAGGCCCCGGCGGGCGGCCAGCGCGGCCGGAAGCCGGCCTCCGGAAGAGGCGGAGCTCCCGGCGGAAGTGGCCGCTCAGGCTCGTGGGACGGCGGGGATGGCGGCGGGCGGCGATTTCGGCTCCGGGGCGTCGTCGGGCCGGCTGGACCCGGGAGCGCTGATGGAGCAGGTGAAGGTGCAGATCGCCGTGGCCAACGCGCAGGAGCTGCTGCAGGTGAGCGGGAGTCGCTGCTTCGGGGACCCCCGGACTGTGCTGCCCACCCCACCGTCCGGGCCTTTTGCGGGGGGGGAGGGGGAGCCCCAGGAGGCGCTGATGGCGGGGAGGGGGCTCTGCGGATCGCGTCTCTTCCTGGGGGAGGGAGGGGAGGGGACCCAGCGGCGCTGACCTTCCTCTGATCTCTCCCCCCCCCCCCCCCCCCCCCCCCCCCCCCCCCCCCCCCCCCCGCAGAGGATGACCGACAAGTGTTTCAGGAAATGCATCGGGAAGCCCGGAAGCTCCCTGGACAACTCGGAGCAGGTGAGCCCTGCGGCCCCCAAAGGCCCTTTGGGGCGAGTTGCCTGCTGCGACCCCTCCCCTCGCCGTCCTCCCCCCTCACCCGGCCTCTCCTCTGCTCTCTCCCCCGCAGAAGTGCATCGCCATGTGCATGGACCGCTACATGGACGCCTGGAACACGGTTTCCCGCGCCTACAATTCCCGCCTGCAGAGGGAGAGGGCGAACATATGAGAGGCGGAGCGAGGGGGACTCTGGCCGGGACCCTTGCAAAGGGCAGCAGCAGCAGCAGCAGCGGAGGACTGTTGATCGGTCGGCGCAATAGCCATTAAAACGTTGACCCACACGCCCCTCTGTCGTCCCCTCGCCCTGTGTCGCTCTGGGGAGGTCTTGGCTGCAGCCCCCAGGAGCCAAGGCCAGCCGGCCTCGAGGGGCCCATGTTGCTCATTTCCTCTTTCAGGGAGTTGTGTCTGAATTTGAGGAGGGGGGCTGCTGGTCTGCTTTCTGGGAGGCAGCTCCTGATGGGAGACCAGAGTTTTGTTGCGGCCTTTGTTACTGAGGTCCGACCTCAGCCCCTCCCCCCTTGAGGCTGGCAGAAGCGAGGGCTGCCCGCTGCCCATTCCCTGCTGCTGGGCTCTTTTCGCAGCCAAAGCCCCCTCCCCCGGCCCCCTGGCAGCGAGTGGGCTTCCTGACATGGCAACCAACGCCAACACAGGCTGCTGATCTTCTTGGGCCTTGGTTTGGGGGCATCCTTGAAGAAGGGCGAGCTGTCCCTCTGCTTTGTGGGAGTGCAGCGAAGCTGGTTTGGGCTAAGTAGGGTGCAGTTGCTGAGCCTTGTTCCATTGGCCAGCAGTGGAAGAGGCTTCGATCCCTGGAGTGCCAGCCTCTCTCCTTGGATCAAATGAGGCAGGCGAGGCTGGGCACAGCTAGAATGGGTCGTGGGTGGTGCATGGATGGATTGATCGTCCCTGAGGCTGAGGAAGGACGTGGAACGTTAGTTCAGGCTTGCAGATTATGAGAACTGCCGGGGTGTGTTTTGCTAACCTTTCCTGAGCACATTGTGTGCGTCCCGCCATTTGTGGCTTGGCGAGAGGAAGCGGCAGACGGGCCAATGCAGGGAAGGTTGCCCTGGATAACACACCCTCCCTCCCCCATTCCTCTTGTCTGAAGATGCAGCATTGTCTTGGCAGGGTGGAAGGAGGGAAGCCACCCCACTCGGAAAGCTTGTGTGAAAACTGCAGGGGCTCCTTCTGACAAGCTGGGGGGGGGGGGCTGGGGGGGCTAGAAACCATCCCCTCCCTCCCAGCAGGCCCAGAGAAACCTCACGGAAATTCACAAGTGGGTTATTTTCATTTAATGTACCTGCAGCTGGATCAGAGGCCTGTCTGGCAGAATTCTTCTTTTCCGGAAGGGGTTCTGGCAGGATTGGGACTATGAGGGGCCTTGCCCCCCCCCCCTGCTGGCCCCGGTGAGTAGGGGGTTACGCCTTGAGGTTCTGTGCAATCCAGCCCCGGACTGCTGTCACCTTGGCGTAGACCCCGGGGAAGGAAGGCCGGGCGCAGCCATAGCCCCAGCTGGTTATGCCTGCCAGGAACCAGCGGCCAGACGGCTCTCTGCAGGCCAAGGGGCCCCCTGCATCTCCCTGGGGAGCAAGAGGGAAGCATGAGGGCGCGGCAGCCCTGAGCACGGGGTGGGGGAGGGTGGCCTTGAGGGACTGCCTCTCCCACCCCCTGCAGAGCAGCACCCCAAGGCCCTTTGCTGTTCCTGGCGGCCAGAGGGCAATGCCGTTTGGGCTCACCGAGCAGCTGTCGATGCCCCCCTGCGGGAAGCCAGCACACAGCATCCGGCTGCTGATCTGGATGGGGTAGAACCTCCAGCAGTCCTGCTCCCGGATCACCTGGACAGCCGCCTTCTGCAGTCGCGTGCTCGTGAGCCCTGCGGGTAGCAGCATGCGCACACACACACACACACACACACACACACACACCAGCACCCCGGTCACATTTCCACCCTGAGCTGAAGACCCCCAAGCCAGGACACCCCCTGGGCTCGGTCTGACGGGGAGTCGGTGGGCCCCGGGCCTTGGATTGAGCTGTGCCCCATGGGGACAGGGCTTCTGGGGAACATCCGTACCCCCCTCCTTAGTGGAGCCCCAGCCGGTGATGACACAGGGCCTGCCCTCACTGAAGACGTGTGTGCGGTCCGGGAGGCAGATGGGCCGGACGGTGCTGGTGTAGCGCAGGGGGGTGGCCAACTCCAGCAGGGCCACGTCGTAGTCCAGCATGTAGCCATTGTAGAAGGGGTGCTTGTGGATCCGGGCAATCTTCTCCACTCGTCCGTCAAGGCCGCTCAGGAAGGGCGTCCCCAGGACAGCCACCCACGTCCTGGGATTGCTGTAGCTGCAAGAGGCGAGTCTGTCAGCCTTCCTTTTGGAGGGCTCAGCACCCGCCCTCCGGGCTGGCCAGGGCAAGCCTGGAGGTTCCTGAGCCCAAGAGGCCTGGCGTAGGGACAGAACGGGGCGGCTTGGAGGGGCCTGGGTCCTCCGGCCCCCCCTCCCACTCACACGTCAAAACAATGGGCAGCCGAGAGCAGCCACCGCTCGGCGATCACCACAGCCCCACACGCGTGCTGCCTTCGCCGCAGCCACAGGCTCGCCTGCCACGGCCACTCGCCCTGCGCTGCACCGCTGCCCCCCACGATTTTGCTGAAGGCTGCCAGGGGGCCCAGGCCGCAGTCTGCCGGAAAAGGCCAAAGCAGGGGCTGGAGGGAGGGCAGGCCAGCCCAGCCACTCCCCTCCCCCCCCCACCCCATCTGCTGGAATGGGAGCGGGGGGGGGGGGCAGCCCGACTTGTATGTTTCCAGCCCCTGATGGATGCAACTGAAGCGCCCTCACGGCAGCTTGACCCAGGGCCGGCCTGCCTCCTCCCACTGCCCCCCCCTCCGCCCCCCCATGTGCTGCCACAGGGTCCGTCCCCTCCCCCGCCCCTCCGGTGCAGCTGGGTCCAAGCCACCTTTGGAGAGGATGGGTACAGTGGGGGGGCGGGGCGTAGGGGAAGTGGGTGGCAGCCCCTCATCAGAGACTCTAACCAGCACTCTGTTGGGAGACCCCCCTCCTCCGACATCTCCGTGTCCGTCCCTTTTTCCAAAGTCCTCCCTCCCCACCGGGCCAGCCGCTGCCCCTGGCGGAGTGGAGGTGCCTGGGGCCGGAGCAGGAGGGGGGTACGCACTGCAGCCAGTCTCATCCCAGCCGTTGCCGCAGTCGATGATGCCGTCGCACTCGGGGTTGGCTTTCCCAATGCAGACCTTGTTGGAGCACTTGAACGTGGAGGGCGTGCAGGGCACAGCTGGGGGGGGGGGGTTAAGCAGGTGAGTCCAGCTGAGAGGCCCGGCTCTTTTTCCCCACAGGGGGCCAGAATTCCGGGGCAGGGGCTGCGAGGCGGAGTCAGGGCCGGCAGCTCTGCCTGAGGGCATTTCCTGGCAGGCCGCCTGTCACCAGCAATTGTGGCCGAGGAGAGGGAAGCCGCTGAGGTCACCCTGCCCTGCTGGCTTGCACACCCCACCGACTTCACGCGCGGAGGCTTTTCTTCCTGCCCTGTACCTGGTGGCTGGGTGGCCTTGGAGGCACCGGCTTCCAGCCCAGATGTGGCCAGGCTGGTCGGGCTTTGCTCCGGGCCAGAGGCGGTCGAGGCAGAGGGGCTCCTGGCTCTGAGGGGCTCTGCAGTGCTGAGACAGGATGAAATGGCACCTAGGATCCAACTCTTGAGCTTGGTGATCCGGGCGTAGACCCCTGGCTTCTTGGCTTGCCCACAGCCAGCGGCCCAGCTCACCAGCCCAGCCAAGTAGAAGGTTCCCGGGGTCTCCTCGCAGGCCAGTGGTCCCCCAGAGTCCCCCTGAAAAGGAGGCAGGAGGAAGCATCTCTTGGCAAGCGCAGTGGCTTAATGGTGGGTGCCCCTTCTGTTATGGCCAAGGCAATCCCTCCATAAATAGAGGAGGCCGAAAGTGTTCTTCAGTGGGAACTGGACCCGAAAATGCCCTAAATGCTCGGGGGGGGGGGGCACAGGAGGCCCTTAACCGCCCCCCTCTCCGGTCACCTGGAGGGCTGGCAGCAAGTTCCCTGCTTGACAAAAAGTGGCCAATGGGCAGGTGGGAGAGGGAGGCTGAGGCCTTCCCTGGGGAGGAAAGTGGAGCAGGCAGCACCGGCCAAAGGTGCCTGTCAGGAGCAGGACCCCCCCGCAGAGGAGGGGGGGTGGAGAAGGGGCTCCCCTCACTGCCCCGACATCTGGCCCTGGAGAGCTGGGGAGTTGCTCCCGCAGGAGTGGCACAGAGAAGCCGCAACCGCCAGAGTCCGGGAAGGCAAAGGGAGCCTTTGAACTGCAGGGCGAAGGAAGGGGAGGGGCCCAGGGAAACCGGAGTAGCAGCAGCAGCAGCAGGAGGGGAGGGGTGGGGTGGGGTGGGGTGAGGTAAGGTGAGCAGTCAGGCCTGGGAGAGACTCTGTGAAGGGCCATCGATGCTCTCTGAGCTGGGTGGTTTTCGTGCAGGTGTTTCGTGACCCGAGTAGGGAACATCGTCAGTGCTAGACCCCCCCCCCCATTTCTGTCTGGCACTGTTGATGATACCTAGTTATGACAAGTCTGCAAGAAAACCACCAGGCTCCAAGAGCACCAAGGGCCCCCGTGGTTGTGCATCCTTTGGACTCTCGCTACTGAAATTAGAAAACGAACTTGAATCCTGTTGCAAAATAGTGATACCTTTCCAAACTGCCCTTTCAGCCTTTATGCCCCCCTCCTCCCTGTGGTTGTGTGTGTGTGTGTGTGTGTGTGTGTGTGTGTGTGTGTGTCCTGAAAGGGCCAGGGTGCGGGGAAAAGTGCTCCTGGTACCTGGCAGGCATCCACCTTCCCCTCAAGGAGCCCCGCACAGATCATCTGCTCTGAGAGGGAAACGTTGTACAATCCTTCGCAGGTCGCCTGCTCCAGGATCCCGACTGCGGCTCGGTGCAGGTTTTCAGGCTGAGAAGCTGGAAGCCCAGGAGGAAGAGGAGGAGACCTCACAGGGGCCAGCCCAAAGCCCCTGAGCCCCACTTCCAACTACCCCAGGTTCGGTACACAAGGGGAGGGCGCTCTCCTACCCACAGAGCACAACCCGAGGCCCGTTCCCGTCTACCTACCGTTGCCATCCTGGAGGCTGCCCCAGCCTGAAACCAGGCACTTTCTGCCCACGGGGAACTTGTGGGCAGCCAAGGGGAGGCAGATGGGCTGGATGTATCTGCCAAAGCGCAGCGGCCTGGCCAGTTGCAGCACTGCCACGTCGAAGTCCAGGAGGGCGGGGTTGTAAGAAGGGTGGAGCACCACCTGTTGGATGCCGACCTTCACAGAAGAGCTGTCCGTGGCTGAGAGTGAAGTGGTGCCTGCGAAGGCAGTGAGGTGTCCCACCTTGGTGCTGCCGATACAGGAACAGGAATGGCGCCCGGTCTGCCCAGGGGCAGAGCACACCCTTTGCACCTTTCGGGCACCCTTCCCGCCCCGGGTTGAGGCTGGAGGGAGCAGAGCCCGCCTTGGGGGAGGCAGATGTGAGACAGAATGGCGGGCGACTTCCAGGGGTGCCTCGGCCCCGATGGGGCACCCCTCCCTCGGGTTCCCCGCCGCCCCCTCCTGCCAAACAGGCCCCTCCACAAGAGCAGCTGCTCAAACTTCCCCTCAGGGCAGAAACCCAGAGAGGAGCCTTTCAGGAGGGCTCCCACTGAGCGACACTTACTGGTTGAAACAATGTGCAGCTGAAAGCAGCCACCGCTCCCCAATGATCACGGCCCCACAGAAATGCTGGAGACCCTCCTTCAGGGTGACTTGCCAGGGGACCTCCCCGTGGGATGCTTCCAGGCCACCCACAATTTTCATAGCTTTGGAGAAACCAGGCCGCCGACCGCACTCTGCACGTGAACAGGGGACGGCTGTGGTGGATGCAGGAGGGGCTGCCCCACCTCCACTTGCTCCCTGCCAGCTGCACGCCAAGGCCCTACCTGGAGGCTGGGGGCTCGTGGCTGCCGGCCTACTTGAGGCTGGGGAAGCAGAGCCGGAGATGGAGCTAGGGTGCTGTGGGCCGGCTGCGCTTGTGCCCACGGTTGGAGCTGAATGATGGCGCCCAGGGCCTGGCATGGTGGAAGCCGCGGGGCTCCTTGATGTGGCCGTGGTCTCGATGATCCAGTCCCGGAGCCGGATCACACGAGTGTAAACCCCGGGGCGCCTGGCCTCTGCACAGCCAATGCCCCAGCTGACTATCCCAGTGAGGAAGAAGCGCCCAGAGGGCTCTTGGCAGACCAGAGGGCCCCCGGAGTCCCCCTGCGGAAGGAAAGAGCCACGGTGAGTGCATGTTGTGCGGAGAGGTCTGTCCAAAGCCTGCTGAGCTCTGGGGGCGGGGGCGGGGCCCTACCTGGCAAGAGTCAACTTTGCCCTCCAGGTAGCCAGCACACAGCATCCGGTCAGTGAGCACACTGCCGCCATAGAGGTTGCCGCAGAGAGCCTGGTCCAGCAGCTCCACCGTGGCTTTCTGGAGCAGCTCCGGCTTCACTACTGGGGGAGGGGCAGGATGGACGCTAAGTGGACCTTGGCCTTGCTCTCCGGGTAATTCAGCGGGGTTGGGGGCTGAGGTCAGAGTCTGGGGCGCTGCATTGGGCGGAGTGTGTGCCTGCAGCAGCAGCAGGAGGAGGAGGAGGAGCTATGGTCTGCCTGGATTGTTCCCCCCAACCCCCCTCCTTGCAGCGGACACACCAGGAGCTTTGCAGGGGCATCCAGGGGCTACTCTGGCCTTGCTCAGGAGTTTACCTCCCACCCTCCCGCGGGTTGGTGTGGGAGCAGGAGCCTCCCTTCTGGGCCTGTGGGGACAGCGGTGGCCGCTTGCGGTCCCCGAGCAGCCAGAGGTCTCCTCACACATGGAGGCAGAGTGGACAGCAACATCCCTTTGAGGCAGGCCAGTCAGCTCCAGCCCTGGATGGGGGATTCCTTCTGTGCCGCCCCCTATTTTCCACCTGACCGCTAGGGGCCCCGCTTACGGAAGTCTTCCTTGAGATACCCCCAGCCGGAGATGAGGCACTTCCTGCCCGGGCGGAAGCGGTGGGAGGGGGCTGGCAGGCAGACGGGCTGGATGTATTTGCCGAAGGTGAGGGGCTCGGCCAGCTCCAGCAGGGCTGCATCGTAGTCGGCGCTCTCCACATTGTAGGAGGGGTGCTGGAGGATGCGCAGCACCTTGGCCTGGGCCCGGCTGCCCTCGCTGCCACTCAACCGGATGCTGCCGGCCCGGGCCATCCAGGTGCGGGGGTCCTGGAACCTGCAATGGGACAGCTTCAGTCTCCCCTGGCTCCCCCCACCCCCCCCTGGGAGGGAGGGGGGAGTGCAAGCCACCCCGTCCCTCGCATGCCTGCCTGGGGTGAGGCCCATCCTTCACTTGTGACCTCACACTCCGTTGTGGTTCTCCTGACCTTTTCGATCTGACTGGGCCTTCCCAGTCCTCCATCCCTTTTTCTTCCTGCTTGGGGCTTCTTCCCCCCCCCCCCCCACCTCCCCCTTCTCTTCTTCTCCCTCCCTTCCTTCCTTCCTCCCTCCCTCCTCCCCATGCTGTAGCTCCACACACACACAGCACATGCTTCCACCTGCTCCCCTCCAGCCTGAGCGAGGGATGTGCAGCTGGGTGTCCCTACTGCCTCCTTCCATCCTTGAGCTGCTCCCTCCCCCCCCCCCCCCCGCCTCTCCCTCCCCCTTGGCACCAACCCACTGCAGAGGGTGCCAGCCGTGACAGGGGTCTCCCGGGCTTACTCATTGAAGCAGTGGGCAGCAGACACCAGCCACCTGGCGGTCAGGATGGCCGCCCCACAGAAGTGTTCGTTGCTCTCTCTCAGGCTGACCTGCCACGGGAACTCGCCCAGAAGTGCCTCCGATCCCCCCACGATCCGAGTGGCAGATCGCATGGCTGGCCGGGTCCCACAGTCTGCAAGAGAGCATCAGGGACCGCTGGTGAATGGGGGAGTCCAGGAGAGCCCCCCCTCACACACACACTTTCAGCCTCTCGCAAGTTAGGAAAGCCCTAAACACATTTGCCCTCCCCCCTCCCCCGCCAGTTTTATTCCAGGTCTGCAGGTTGAGATTGGTCAGAGGGGAAGATTCCCTGTCTTTTTCTGACGTGGCGAAAGCAATATTTCAGCCACCTGTTTTCCTCCTGCTTGTGGTTACTGCGGCCTGATTGGTCACATTTTGAGTGAGGATTAGCTCTTAAGCAGAGTGCTGCCCAGCCAGTATATGGGAATTGGGATAATTAGTTAGGAATTGGGAGCTGGCCCCTTAAGGGAATGCCTCGTGGTAAATGTAGTTCAGGTATCCTGGGAAATGTAGTCCATGTCATGTGGTCACATCTGTAATCCTGATTAGTCACTGAATTGAGCCTTGGTGGGTTGGGGGAGGTTTCTTCACTCTTGCTCGGACCCCTAGCATCGTGCTAGCCTCTCTCCTCTGGCTCCACTACTATGGGATGAAATAGGGGAAAGATTTCTATCATTTTGCACTATTATTTCAACTATGCAAAGAATTGGACATTAGATGCATCTCGACATAACTGTGAGTTACCTTGAGGATACCTAATATAATCCAATAAAAGAAACTTTGTATGGAAGAATTTGTAGCGTTATCTGTCTTTATATTCAACAATTGAATCAAAGGACAGAATAATAAAATAAGTAGATCTGAATTCCTGCAAACCCTCAGTAAAAAGATGGTGGGAATTTGAATCTGGACTCCCCAAAAGTAAAAGCTATTGGAATTCGTGTGATAAAGCAAAGTATATTGAAATCAGGACTCCCAAGTCAAAGCACAATGCTAATCTGAGTCTCCAAGGTAGAGATATAACTAATCATATTGCCTGAATATTCTCTCTCTCTCTCTCTCTCTCTCTCTCTCTCTCTCTCTCTCCCCATCTCTCTCTCTCTCTCTGCAATGGAAGTTTTTACAGGGTGTTTGGATGGTTGGGAGGGGCTAAGAATCCCCCATTTCACAAGAGGCAAACAAGTAAAGTCCTCCCTGGGTCTTCGCATCTCTGTTTATCTGCTATCTCAAAGACTCAATTTGCACAACAAGGAGACTGTGAATAGCTAAGAAGAGCCAGAAATTTGCCTCTCAAGGGAAACAATTCTGTTCAAGTTTTAAAACCTGTTTAAATTTTCTGAGTCTTTCTTGTGCCCTCTAACACAGAAATTGCATTTCTCCAGCCCAGAGGATCCTAAAAAGAGGCCTTATACGGCCAGTTTGCAACCTGGTATCCAAGCAGCAAAGTCATAAAAGAGGTCTCTGGCCAGTTTATTGCGGGGTCATAAATCGCCGGTGGAGAGCTGTCTCCAGAGCAACGGAGCACATCCCCCCTCCCCATAAGACACAAGTCTGATCCGAGGAGCCTAATTTGAACAAAAGAAGCACTTTGCCTTTCTAGTTAATGACAGAGCTAGAAGATTTTTCCCTTTACTGAAAATTTAAAATTTAAAGGCCAGTCTAAAGAGAAATTATCTAACCACAGCATTTATGCAATGGATTACAGTATTATTACATTTCTTAAATGACTTTGTACAAAAGTATTCTATATATTTAATGACTTTTCCTTCCAGTCTAATCGGCTACCATTCAACTGCCAGCCTATAGCACCATCTGGTGGTCAAGTAGAAATTTCACAGAGAATTCAATAAAAAAATTTTTTTACTTTTGCCACCCAACTCAACTCCAGCTCCATCACTGAAGAGGCCAACCTGTGCAACACCAGTGTCTTCCAGACCTAGCAAGTACCACTGACAGGCCATTTTGTGCTCTGCGTCAACGTCTTTCAGACTTCTCAACGCACCCCCTAGCAGCCAACCAGCGTGCTTCATCAGCGTCTCCCACACATTGCAAAGCACATCTCTAGTGGTCAACCTGTGAAATTTTCTGAATTTTCTCAAATTCAGCAACACGCCTGCAACGCCACCTACATGGTCAAGTACTGAATTTAGCAGAAGTTCCTACCTTCTGCTACTTGCTTGCAGCGCACCCTAGTGGAAATAAAGGGCATTGCATGGAAAACCTCTAAATTTTCCAAAATTCACCTTTTGCTAATTTGAAGCATGGCAACTTCTTCCGCCATAACAGATGTCTCTGATGTACCAGAGGACTCAAACCTTCCACCCACCCTTGATGTAAACAGGGAATCTGGCTCCCAAAACCCAGTTTTAAATGTCCAAACCTCCGGAGAAGCAGCAGTACCTCAGAAAGCCTATGACCTCAGACAGCATAGGAAGCTCACCAAACCTATGGAGGCATGCTGTAGGAGGGATTGGGACAGGCAGTATCACTGCTATACAGACTTATGGTTGGACCTCCTGGGTATCTGCGAAGCCCCAACAATCCGCACATTGCAGAACTAGCTAGATGACCTTCTCCTACGGATGGAAAGACAACGAAAGTAAACTCAAGTACATCCAGTCAAAGCTGGGTGACCCAAAGCTCCAAGTACACATTCAAGGCTTCAATGAGATTAACAAGGAACACGAAGAATGCATTAAGAAAGGCAAAAATGCCCTCCAGGCAGCGCTCAACAACGCGCTACGCCTGGAAGTAGTGTCAAGGGAGTGGGGCACATCCGACATAGCTCCTCAATCACATGTGCCTTCCTTCCACTATTCCAAGTGAGAAATCAAATAAGTTCCTGACCAACCTAGCTGACAACTTTGTTGTCCAAAAGGTAGAGGGTGAAACTAGAGGGACAGCCATACTGGACTTCATTCTTACAGAGAAGAAGGAGGGAGTTGAAACTGCAGGAACCTTGGGTGGGAGTGACCATGTCATACTAGAATTCAACATAACACAAACACAAGCAACAGAACATAATGATACCAGAGTCTTGGATTTTAAAAGTGCTGATTTCAATAAACTCAGAGAGAACTTGGGAAAGATTCCATGGATGAAAATCCTAAAGGGGAAAACAACTCAAGAATCTTGGGCAACTCTAAAAAGTATGATCACAGAAGCCCAGACCAGCACAATACCACTGAGAAAGAAAAACAAGAAATCCAAGAAGAAACCCGCATGGCTACACAAAGATCTCTCTGGCAAATTGAAAGAAAAAAAGGACAAGTACAAAAAATGGAAAGAAGGACATACAACTAAGGCAAATTACCCAGCAGATTAGCAGATACCCAGAATCTGCAAAGACGAAGTCAGGAAAGCAAAGGCTCAGAACGAACAAAGACTTGCAACAAAAGTCAAAGATAATTTTAAAAGTTTCTTCCAACATATAAATAACAAGAAAAAAATCAAGGAAACAGTCGGTCCACTAAAGAGAGAAGATGGCAAGGAAGTAACAGGCAACAGAGAGAAAGCAGAACTGCTTAACTCATTCTTTGTATCTGCCTTCACGCAAAAAGAAACTATAGCTCAACCCACCAAAAACATAACTGTAAAAGACAGACCAGAGATAAAAGTTAAAATAAGCAAAAAAATAGTAAGAGAACACCTGTCTGATCTTGATGAAAACAAATTACCCGGGGCCTGATGGATTACATCCCAGAGTTTTAAAGGAGCTGGCAGAGGTCATCTCAGAACCACTGCACCATATCTTTCAAAAATCCTGGAGCACCGGGGAACTACCAGAGGACTGGAAAAGAGCTGATGTGGTTCCCATCTTCAAAAAAGGGAAAAAAAACAGACCTAGGAAACTATAGACCAATCAGCCTAACATCAATACCCAGGAAGATACTGGAAAAGATAATTAAAAAAAACAGATCTGACAACATCTAGAAACAAGTAAAGTAATAACTAGCAGTCAACGCAGGTTTGTTAAAAACAGATCATGCCAAACCAATCTTATTTCATTCTTCAACACAGTGACTAAATTAGTAGACCAGCAAAATACTGTGGACATAATATATTTAGATTTCAGCAAGGCATTCGACAAAGTAGACCACAACCTACTTCTTAGTAGGCGAGAAAAAGGTGGAATAGATAGCACCACCACGAGATGGATTCGCAACTGGCTGGCAAACCGTACTCAATGAGTAGTCCTTAATGGGTCTAAGTCTACGTGGAGGGAAGGAAGCAGTGGGGTGCCACAAGGTTCCCTCTCAGGCCCAGGACTCTTCAATATCTTCATTAATGACTTAGATGAGGGAACAGAAGGGGAACTTACCAAATCTGCAGATGATACTAAGCTGGCAGGAATAGCTAACACCCAAGAAGATAGGCTCAAGGTCCAGTTGGATCTTGACAGACTAGAACTGGGCGATAGCTAATAAAATGAAATTCAGTGGAGAGAAAAGTAAAGTCCTACACTTAGGCAAGAAAGACCAAAAGGACACATACAGACTGGGTGAAACCAGGCTCAATAGCAGTAACTATGAGAAGGATCTTGGAGTCTTAGTGGACAGCCAGCTCAATAGGAGCCAGCAGGGTGCAGCGGCAGCCCAAAAAGCTAATGCAATCCTAAATTGTATTAACAGAGGGATACAGTCAAGATCAAGGGAAGTACTCATACCACTCTATAAAGCCTTAGTAAGGCCACACCTAGAGTACTGCATCCAGTTTTGGTCACCATATTATAAAAAAGATGTTGAAACTCTAGAAAAAGTACAGAGAAGAGTAACCAGGATGATGAGGGGACTGGAGGCTAAAACATACAACGAACGGTTGCAGGAACTGGGCATGGATAGTCTAGTGAGGAGAAGAACCAGGGGAGACATGATTGTGGTCTTCCAATATCTGAGGGGCTGCCACAGAAAGGAGGAAGGGGTCAAGCTATTTTCTAAAGCACCCAAAGGCCAGACAAGGAATAATGGATGGAAACTGAACAAGGAGAGATTTAACCTGGAAACAAGGAGAAACTTTCTGACGGTGAGAACAATCAACCAATGGAACAGCTTGCCCTCGGAAGTTGTGGGAGCACCAACAGTTGACTTTCAAGAAGAGATTGGACTGCCATTTGTCAGAAATGGTGTAGGGTCTCCTGCTTATACAGGGGTGGAGTTGGACTAGATGACCTACAAGGTCCCTTCCAATTCTGATTATCTGTATCTAAGAAAGCCACCTCCCTCCATCCCAAACTGGCTAGATCTCAGGCAGGTTCCAGCATCTCGTGGCAAATCTCTGTTGCTGTCTCTCACTATCCTTCCAGAGCATCCTCCCTTCTCAGTGTCGCATCTAAGGCCTCCAAAGCAGCAAGTTACGCTGACCGAGCTTCAGAAGCTGAGATAGAAGTGGCGGTAGCAGAAGCAGATTTGCGTATCACGACGGGGGTGACACGGCAGAAAGCAGAAATGGCCAAACAACAGGCAGAAATGGCCAGGGCCAAGTGGAGTTGCTCGAACGACAAAGAGAGACAGCAGCAAAAAACAGCGCGGGCTGCAGCATTGCGGAAGGTGGCCGACAACGCCTCCTCCAACTTCGACCTTGAAGAATTGGAAGAAGATAGCCTAGACACACAGGTCAAGGCCTACATGGATGAGTAGCATTCACTGTGAAACAAGCAGGTAGAACTGGCACGGTTAGTTGGCAGTTTCCCAGAACCAAGGGATCGAAGGAGAGAAGGAGAAACTACAGACTTTACACGCCAGTCAGAAAACTGACGTCGTAAGACCTAAGACTCAAGACTCCCTTTCCAAAGGCAGCAGACCTACCCCAATGTCCCAAGACCTGCTGGCCAAGCAACTTTCCCTTCCCCAAAATATCAAACCTAACCCTACCCCTATATCAACGTGCAGCGTACCACACAGTACAGCGGGGAGAAGAGCTACTGGACTCTGTATAGAGTCATTCAATGGAAGTTCCCAGTTCTCACTGCCGCCTGTGTTAGTATGGGATGGGATACCAAACGACCACAGCCAGATCGCAACACCCGAGGTAGCAAGCAGCATTCCTCACCTGAAGCACCTGGCTCATCGCTTTCCTGCTCTAGATCCGGAAGCAGAAATTCTACTACTATTGCTGGGAGTTGATGCCCCTTATGCCTTCAAAGGACAGAATAAGCAGTTATGGGATTAAAAATTTACCACCACTGGTTCTGTGGGCCTGGCTAAGTGGTCATGTGACTTGGTGGGCAGCACCTTGCTGTGAATGACATCGAGATGGTCACGCCCAGTCATATGATCGATGTTGCAAGTCAGGGCTATGGCCTCTGTATGTACCTTTTCTCCCCACCCCCTGCCCTTGGGCTGACAAAATGAGGAGGAGGAGGAGGAGGAGGAGGAGGAGACCTTGCTGAACTTTTCTGCCCCCTGCTTCGTGTGCACACAAATAGGACAAACAGCAACCACTAGCTGTTTCTTACCTTCCCAGGGGTGGTGCCGAACGTGCAATTCCCCCCCCCCATACTACTACCTCTTACAATACTAGACAACACAGTTCCAAGACCTAAAATGGACACCTAACATCAAAAACATCATCAAAAAAGCACAACAAAGAATGTTCTTTCTGCACCAACTCAGAAAGCTCAAACTGCCCAAGGAGCTGCTGAAACGGTTCTACAGAGGAATTATTGAGTCTGTCATCTGCACCTCTATGACTGTCTAGCTTGGTTCTGCAACCCAACAGGACAGACACAGACTTCAGAGAGTAATTAGGACTGCAGAAAAAACAATTACTACCAACCTGCCTTCCATCGAGGACCTGTATCCTGCATGAGTCAAAAAGAGGGCTGTGAAAATATCTACAGACCCCTCACATCCCAGACATAAACTGTTTCAACTCCTTTCCTCAAAATGATGCTATAGACCACTGCACACCAGAAGAACTAGACACAAGGACAGTTTTTTCCCAAAAGCCATCATTCTGCTAAACAATTCCCTCAAAACTGCTCAACTATTTACAAAGTCTGCATTACTATCACTATTAATCTTCCCATCACTCCTTATCACCCATCCCCTCCCACTTGTGACTGTACGACTGTAACTTTGTTGCTTGTATGCTTATAATTTATATTCACCGTTTCCTAGTATGATTTGATTGCTTATTGTACCCTATGACTATCATTAAGTGATGTTCCTTATGATTCTTGACGAATGTCTCTTTTCTTTTACGTACACTGAGAGCATTTGCACCAAGACAAATTCCTTGTGTGTCCAACCACACCTGATCAATAAAGAATTCTATTTGTGCAGGCACAGATAACAGCAAGACTGACCTTAGCTCAGCTGAGGCGCGGCAATCTGCTCTGCCACACAGATCAGCTGAGCTGAGAAACAACAGAATACAACAGTGGTAAGAGTGGGGGCGGGGCCACTTAAAATTTTCCCTGGAGGTTCTCCTGAACCGGTCCAAATCCCCTGAATATGATCCCTCTCTTTAGGCTCATGCACAAGGAGCTCCCCCGCCACTAACAGCCCCCTTCTGGTTTCATGTCCCCCCACGACCCCCGGAAAAGTAGCCTCTCTGGAGATGCTGCCCTGCCTCCCACGGAGGTCAATCATCTTTGCACTCTGGGTCCTGCACTCTGTGGGGTTCAGCCCTCCCTGGAGGGAGGCACCCACAGTCTGTGCCCGTCCTCGAGGGAGATCCGGGGCAGCCTGGAGAATCCCCAGCTTTGCAGAGGTAGTGAGGCCAGCAGCCCCAGTGGTGAGAGACTCACCACATTCGGCCTCATCAGAGCCATCTGGGCAGTCTTTCCAGCCGTTGCACTGCACGCTTCGTGGGGCTACACACTGGCCATTGTGGCAGGCAAAGGCCTCCCCGAGACACCTTCCTGTGAACACAACAGGGGCAGAATTGGCTCCCAGGTTCTTCCTCCCCTCAGCACAGGCACTGGGGGTGGGGGAAAAGCAGGGGGGGAATGTCACTGGGGTCCAGCCATGGTGCTCAGCACCTCCTTTAATTGAGGCGGGAAATCCCTGCCCTCAACAGCCTGGGCTTTTGGGGTAGCCGTTTGGCTGCCCTTTTCCACCCTCCTGCCTCTGCCCTCAAGTGACTAGGCCTAAGGCCAAACGGGCCCCAGTCCCCAATGCTGCCCGTGGGGCTGGGGCCCCAAAACCAGGATCCCAGACGGGTTCCACAGTCGACCAGCCTACCTGACTTGAGCTCTGGGCTTGAGAATGTGGGGTCCGGTGGACCTGCTGGAAAGGGGGGGGAATCAGAAAGTGGGCACAGGTCAGCAGCCCGGAAGGGTCTGAGCACACACCACCCCGGTCAGCCCTGGGCCAAAGGGCCAGAAAGAATGCAGGGATACCCAGGAGGGAGGCAGCCCAGATGGTACCGTAGGTGGGCACCCTGATGCCCACAGCTGCTGCCAGTCCCCGCCTCAGGATATCCTCTTCCATGCCAGGGCTGGGCGGCGGTGGAGAGAAGCCGAGGTGGAAGTGGACAATGAGGCTGGCATTGCCCTCCCTGCCAAGCAGAAGCAAGAAGTCCTTACCCTCTCTTCCTGGCAGGAGAGCCTCCCCCCAGGCCAGCCTTCCCGCCCTGCCCACCTGTATTGCACGACGGTACACCTGGAGCAGCTGCCGTCCAGGGGCGAGTCCTGAAAGCGGCTTTTGAACTGAGCGGTCAGACAGGAGAGCAAGAGAGCAGATTGGCTTTGCTGCTGTGCCCATCAGAGCCACAATCAAGCCGGGAGGCCCAGTTTCAGAGCAGCCTCTTTGCCCCAAGAAAAGACCCGGACCATCTGCCCCCTCAAGCAATTAGCCAAAGGGGTGCCTAGCCTGGGCCTTAGAGGAGCCGCTGCAAACCCCAAGCTAGCTGGCAGGATGCATCCCCTCAGCCCTCCCCTCCCTTCTCCAGCCCCTTCCCTTCGGCTTTCCACCAGGGTTGGACCGCCGGGAACCAGGGGCCTCACGTGGGAACAGTTCTGCCAGCCTTGGACAGTCCGACCAGTCTTGTGCACAGCCACCCTTCCCGGAGCGGGTGGGAGCTGCACTCCCGGGGAACACTGAATGGGCGGCCCTTCCCAGTGGCTCACCCACAGCTCACCCTCTTGGGGAGGGGGCATGGGGTCCTTACCAGCTGCTCCAGAATAGGGGTCAGCAGGCGGGAGTAGCCAGAACTGGGCTGCTGCAAACTGCTCCGGTAGGGGATCCCTTGCAGCTCCGCCCTGTGCTCGAAGTGGGCTTCTCGCTTCCCCAGGAGATCTGCCGCAGGAGAGAGCCGTCGATGCCAAGGGCCCCTCCGAGCCCTGCCAGCTGACCCAGCTGCCTAGCTGCCAGGGCCTTGCCACCCTTTGGGGCTGCCTGTGGCCTTAGCCATGGGAGAGCCAGTGCTGAAAGGATGGGCAGGCCAGCTGCCGGGCTCCTCTTGGCACGGATGCCACAGAAGGGTCCTGGCACAAGATGAGCACCGCATTTAGACCCTCCTCGTCTAGCCAAGAGGTTTCCTCGCCCTGCCCTTTGCTTTGCCATCCTCAGAAGACACACATCCCGCCCCCCGCCCCCGTCACCTTTGCAAGTGTCCTCCCCCGCCCCGCTCCCATTTCCCCCAAGGCAAGTGATGAGGGTGCTCCCTGCCTCCCTTCCCAGAGGGTGCCAGGCCCACCAGATCCCTCTCCTTAGACATGTTCAGCTGGCAGGTCCCAGGAAGTGCACCTTCTCCGTCTCACTAGCTTTGCCCCCCAAGGGCGGCTGGTCTCGGGGGAAAGGCTCAGTCCAGGTACGGCAGGGGATGCTCGGCGCTGCTCGGTTGGGCGGGGTAGGTTCCTGGTCCCACCACCCAGGGGCTCTTTCTCTTTCAGTCCAGTGGTGCATCATACCTTTTGTGGGGGGCTTTAAGCTCCATTGGGGACCCCAGGGCGACCCCCAAGCCCATTTCAAAGCAACTCACACACAAGGATGCCCACACACAGGGCTGCTGCGGTGCTGGTGAGGACGGTGGCCAAGGCAGTCCGGCTGCAGGTTCCACCGCCAGCCACGGGCCGTGCTGTCAGTCGCTCCAGTGCCGGCCTTGAGGGGATGCCTGGTAGTCCCATGGCTGGATGGGGCTGGATATGGAAAGAAAGAGGAGGACACGTCCCTGCTCTCTGCTTCCTGGGTCCGGAGCCCTGAGGACCAGCGCGGCCTCCCACGACGGCTGTTGAGGCACAGGAGGCCCACCCCTCACGGGGCAGAGCTACAGCTGCTTCCCTGGCACAACCAGGAAGCCTCAAGAGGGAGGCAGACAAGCAGACCAAGAGACCCACCTCATGGCCCAAGTTACCCGAGGGGATTACATGGCGTCCGTCTGAATGGACAGCTCCGAAGGCCTCCGCTGGCCTCTGCAACCCTTGGAATGGAGAAGCAGGTCCCAGAGCCGCTTTGCCGCGCAAATGGCTGGTTATTCGTGTATTGTTTATTTTTTCAGTCCCCAGCTTTGCAAAGACCCCTCGGGGAGGTTTATAAGCCCAGTGACGAGGAGGCTAGAAACCGGGAGACTGTGAGTTCTAGTCCTGCCTTAAGACCTGGGCCAGCCATTCTCTTTCAGCCCTAGGAAGGAGACAATGGCAAAAACGTTGCCAGGAAAACTGCGGGGACTAGTGCGGGAAGTTGCCAGGAGTTCAAAGGGTGCACACCTACACACTCACCGAACAAAACCCCAATAACTACCTAGAAATAAGATTGCCCACCCTGCTCTTTGTCCCCAGAGGGGCCCCAGGGTGGGTCCTTCCCCACCATAGAGGGGGGCTTCCCTCTGCCGTGCTCAGCCAAGGCTTGGTCAGGGGGAGCTGGCAGCCGAGGAAGGGCAGGGGCTGATTACAGATGCCAGTCTGCCAGGTAGGTTGCTGTGGTGCACCTGGGCCGGGAAGGAAGCTCCCCTCCCCCCCCCCCCCCCCCCGGGGGGGGGCCCTTCCCCTCCCTGCGTGGAGGGCGGCCCCCCCCCCGGGGGGGCGGGGGGGCCTCCCGGGGGGGGGGGGGCGGGGGGAGTCCTGCAGCGCAGGAGCCAAGCCAAGGTTTGGCAAAGGCAGCTTCTCTTCCTGCCACATAAACAACCTTTGAGGGCTGCTAAGGCGCGGGGGGGGGGGGGGGCAAGAGGAAATCGATGGCGCGGGGGGGGCCCCCCCCCCCCCCCCCCGGGGGGGGGGGGGGGTTGCCTGTGAGGCAGTGGGAAAGGGCCGCCTGCCTTTGTGTGCCTCCGAAGGAGGGGGGCTTGCTGCCTGGCAGGGGCATCCCTGCCCGTTGGTGAAAGGGAGGCAGTCCAGACAGCAGACAATGCCACATTTGATGGGGGCCTCCCCGTCCCCCTGGCCAGCTTGCATGTCAATGAGCCGCCCGGGGACAATGCGGAGCAGGTGAGGCAATTTGGAGCCAAGATCCTCAGAGCCTCAACCTGGCCTCCTCCTCCTCCTCCTCTCCCGCCCAGAGGCAGATCCTGGGCAGGCTCACATCCCAAAAGAGGGCGAGGGTGGGGACGGACCAAATTAGGTTCATTTGCCTCCAACCTTGGTCGTCGCAACTCCTTTGTGTTCTCTTCCATGTCTGCATTCCCACCCCTCTTAGGGTTTTCCCACAGGTGCAGGATCCGTTCCCGCTCCCAGTCAGTCGAGTGCTGACCCATCATTTGGGCTCGGTGCCGGAGCAGAGAGAGCCGGACTGGCCCAGAGTGTCTTAGCCGCTCTGATGCCAAGGTGGGACTAGAACTCACTGTCGGGGGCCTTAACCATTAGACCAGACTGGATCTCTTTGGTCATTTTGGTCTCCTTAAACCTCGGGCTGGAAGAGATGACGGGCTTTCAAGAGGAGGGAGGGGAACCTGTTCAGGATGGACAGACGGACGGACGGACCCACACACGCACACACACACACACACACACACACACACACGTCAGCTGGGAAGTGCAGGAGAGGGGAGGGGTCGGGCCAGGGCTGCTCCTCCCCCTCTGGCAGGCTCAGAAAGATGGGGGCATTTCCGATCAGCTCCCATTACTAAAGGGGGGAGGGGCAGAGAAGGACCCCAGGCACAGCCCACCTCCCACCTCCCGCCCTTTGGGGGAGTGGGATGATCCTACTCCAAGTTAGTTCCATGCTTTTGACCAGGAACCCCCCCCTGGCCCCCGCTCCCAATCTAGCTGGGGATGGGTTAGACAGCTAAGGGCCCCGCAGCTAAGGGCCCCTCCGGGCTCTGTGGTCCCTTCTCTGGGCATTGCCAGACCTGCGGCTCATGGCTGCCAGCCGGCATCCCTTCTCTGAACACACGTGTCTCCCCCCCCCCACCCCGCTTATCCCTTTGCATGGTCTGGACCCCCCAGCATTCTCTTGGCTAGTTTCCCCTTGGTTGCCCAGACTGTGCACCGAGGGGCCCAACCCTCCCTTGGTTGCCCCAGGCCCTGCCTTAGCGCTGGGCTGGGCTGCCCGCCTCCCGCCCAGGCTGGACTCACCTCCTGAGCAGCCACTCCTAGGCGAGACAACTCTGGTGCCCGACTGCTCTCACCCGCATCCCCTCTCTGGCTCTCAGGTTGGGGTGGGGGAGGGGGGGGGAAATCCCTTAAAGGAACCTGAGCCGCCTGGAACTGCCAGGACAAGGCGGAGCTAAGTCAGATCCGGGACCGGGAGCCTAAAAGGGCAGCAAGCTTGGTCTTCCCCCTTTCGTGCTTGTCCATAGAGGTGTCACCCACTGCCCCTCATGAACGACATGTTATCTAGTTATACAGTATGATACATCGTTATTGATAAATGGATGAGTTAGATAGAGCAAGAAAATGGATCTGAAACGTATTATTGAAAGTCAATGGTTATAAAGCTAAGGATAATAGAATGAGTGACATATACGATAGAAAATGCTGATTAGAATGACTATAAATATATACAAGTACAATATGGATACTATTATTTTATGCACAAAGGAATATGTACCCAACTGACACCCTGTGGAACAGAAAGGTTTTATATGTTTGTTGTTGTTGTTGTTGTTATAGAAATAAAAAACTTTTATAAAAAAAGAGATGGCCGTGGTTGTTGCTTTTTTGAAAAGGCAGCCGGATGTTCTTGATTTTTTTTTCTTTTGGTTCTCATCACTTGAAGAAGCTTCTTGGATGAGAAGCAAAACGTTTTCAAAGAAAAAAGATATCAACAGCATCCAGGTGTCTTGTTTATTTATACACTTGTCCCATTTACGTGGTCTCTGCACTGTACAGCCCGCACTAGAGCCTCCTAAAAAAACAGTGAAAACTTGATTGAAGTCAAGGCTTGTTAGGAGCAAGAGTCCAAAATATCAAACCAAAACTGAAAGGGCATCCGACCCGAGGACCCTCACCTGTCTACCTAGGGAGTTTCCTAATGCCCAGAGGCTGCCAGGTCACCCAGGTCTTGGGCTGGGCATGCGGTCGCAGAAGGCCTGTGCCAAGCCAGGCAGGATCTCCCAAGTCCCACCAGGGCAGCACTGCTTCCTAAAGGGACCTGTCTGTCCTCGTGGGGGGTGGGCCGAATTAATCAGGGACTGACGGCCCTGCAGATAAGTCAGCCCCAGGCCCCAAAAGATTTGGCTGGTGACAAACAGCAACCTTGACTTACACTGAGAGGAGTCTCAGAATTTATAAAGGATATTGCTGGCCATAACCTCATCGATTTAACCGACACCCCTTTCCCCATTGGCCCGATCACCAGTTATAATAATATACAAGGCTGTGGGATTTACAGTGCAGAAAGCAACTTTTCATACAGCACGGAGACAGTTTGTACTGGCTCAAAACATGTGAATGACCATCTCCTTGACTCTGCCACAGAGGAGGAGGAGGAGGAGGAGGAAGGGGAGGAGGGAGAGGGGGAGGACGAAGGACAGGAGGAGCATCAGTCTTCCTGGCTACCGGGTGCCAAGCACAGGGGTCTCCTTCAACCCTTTTCCCAGAGGCTGCAGCCGCACAGCCGCACTTCAGATACAGATAATCAGAGTTGGAAGGGACCTTATAGGTCATCTAGTCCAACCCCCCGCCCAAGCAGGAGACCCTACACCATTTCTGACAAATGGCAGTCCAGTCTCTTCTTGAAAGTCTCAAGGATGGCGCTCCCACAACTTCCAAGGGCAACTTCTGTTCCATGGGTTGATGGTTCTCACTGTCAGAATGTTTCTCATTTCCAGGCTGAATCTCTCCTTGTTCAGTTTCCATCCATTATTCCTTCTCTGGCCTACAGGCGCATTAGAAAATAGCTTGACCCCCCTCCTCCTCTCTGGGGCAGCCCCTCAAATATTGGAAGACCGCTCTCCTGTCTCCCCTGGTCCTTCTCTTCAGTAGACTAGCCAGGCCCAGTTCCTGCAACGGTTCATTGTATGTTTTAGCCTCCAGTCCTCTAATCACCCTGGTTGCTCTTCTCTGTACTTTTTCTAGAGTCTCAACATCTTTTTTATAATGTGGTGACCAAAACTGGATGCAGTACTCTAGGGGTGGCTTACTAAGGCTTTATAGAGTGGTATTAGTACCTCACTTGATCTTGATTGTAAGTTAGGGTTGCATTAGCTTTTTTGGCTGCTGCTGCACACGGCTGGCTCCTATTTAGCTAGTTGTCCACTAAGACTCCAAGATCCCTCTCACAGTTCCTGCTTTTGAGCTTGGTTTCACCCAGTCTATATGTGTCCTTTGGGTTTTTCTTGCCTAAGTGTAGGACTTTCCTTTTCTCTACATTGAATTTCATTTCATTAGATACTGCCCAGTGTTCAAGTCTGTCAAGATCCCTCTGGACCTTGAGGCTATCTTCTTGGGTGTTGGCTATTCCTGCCAGCTTAGTATCATCTGCAGATTTGGTAAGTTCCCCTTCTGTTCCCTCATCTAAGTCATTAATGAAGATATTGAAGAGTCCTGGGCCTGAGAGGGAACCTTGTGGCACCCCACGGCTTCCTTCCCTCCACGTAGACTTAGACCCACTAAGGACTATTTGCTTCTCCTCAAGAGGATGTCGCGCTTGTCCAGGATCTCTGATGAGAGTGGGGCCCACATCCTTGCGCTCTGCAACCTCTCCGTGGCCTTCGATACCATCGACCAGGGAATCCTTTTGGGCCAGCCGTGGGGCTGGGACAGGGTGACAGTCTCGTGCAGGTTTGGCTCCTTCCTCCGATCAGGGCTAATAGGGAGGGAGGGAGGGGCCCAGCCCCGTGCTGTGCCACAGACCTTGGTACTCTCTCTGCTCCTCTCTAATATCTAGGTGAATCTGCCGGGCGAGATCAACCGTCACCGTGGGTTAAGGTACCTGCATGACGCCGATGATACCCAACTCTGTATCTCCACCCCTGGTGATCCAAGCGATGCTGTCCAGGCCACCTCTCACCATGCTCGCAGGTTGTGGGGGCCTGGATGGGGGACAATGGGCATTGAATGGACCCTGGCAAGAGCAAATGGCTCTGGCTATGTGGGGCCCTGAGATTTGGACTTTTGTCCTCTTTAATCCTGGATGGGGTGGAACTACCCCCGATGGATCTGGGCCACAACTTGGCAGTTCCCTTGGACACGACTCCTGCTCAAGCCAGCAGGTGGCAGCCATGCCTAGGGGACCCTTTGTGCAGCTACGGGTTGGGCACCAGTTGCGTCCTCTCCTGGATCAGGACTCCTTCCCCTCATTTCACAGCTGGACTAGGGCTGTGATGGTGAACCCGTGTCATGCGTACCACAGGTGGCACACAGAGCCATTTGTGTGAGCACACGAGCCCCAGCCAAAGTTACCTGCACTGTGCACGTGCCCGCCTCCCAGCTGATTGTTGGCCGTTTGAGGCTGTTTTCGCCCTCCCGGAGGCTTGAAGGAAAAGCCTCTGCAGCCTCCGGAGGCTGAAAAATGGGCCATCCGGAAATACCCTAAGTGCCAAAAGGGGCCCATTTTCAGCCTCCCGAGGCTGCAGAGGCTTTTCCTTCAAGGCTCCGGGAGGGCGAAAACAGCCTCAAACGGCCAACCATCAGCTGGGAGGCGCGCACATGCACAGTGCAGGTAAGAGGGAAGGGGGGGGGATGTTGCACGTGCATGCGCAGGGGGCGGAGTTATATGGGGCTGTTCCGTCTGGTGAAGGGGCAACCGCAACTTCTGGAGGCATTCTCTGGTTAATTGTTCTCACCGTAAGTTTCTCCTTAGTTCTGGGAGGTGAAGATAAGCAGTGAGCATAATGGCGAAACCAGCAACAGCCAAAACAGGGCCCAACAGCCCAAATCATTTACCCGATGGGCTCCCACCTCGACCTGGCCCTGCACTGTGGAAGAACCCCCGGATTTTGATGCCTGATGTGAACCGCCTGAATCTCCCGGGGCCTGGAGCCTGCCCAGTTACTCACAGGCAGGAGCAGGGATGCCCTGGCCACAGGGGAGGGGAGCGAGCCCAGGAGGCGTCCTTGAGCTGCCCTGAGATGCTCACCAGGGCTCGAATCGGGAGACAAAGGAGGAAGGTCTCTGCAAGTCGGCTGGAATCATATCCAGGGGCTGTGAAGCTGACCCCCCCCACCCGCCACCCCCCCAAAAATGGAAGGGCAGCAAGTCTTGGGAGCCCAACTGACCCAGCCCCCGATTTCTCCTGCCGTCCTCCCTCCCACGGCCGCTCTCCCCCTCCCCACCCGGGGCTGAGAGCTTTAAAAATGCAGGGAAAGGCGGCGGTGTTTCCAGGCTTCCTGTGCACTCCTGATGTCACCTCTCCCTCCACCCTGTGGACAGAACCGCCCACCTCACACGCCACCAGGAAAGGGGTCCCGCCGTGGCCCCAGACCTTCTCTGGGGGACCTGCACAGATCTTCTCCATCCCTGGACGGGCCCCTCATTCCATAAAGGCTGAGCCAAAAAAATGTTAACACATAACATTTGGGCATTTGCAAGTTTCATCAAGTTTATTGTTTTACCTGCTTCAGTAAAATAAAAATTCCATGTACGTTATTTATAAAATGGCTTAAATTAAGGCGAAATCCTATAGTGTCTAAACAAGTGCCTGTCGTTCTGCATGAGAGGGGGAGGAGAGAGCCAGGCCCACTGACACATACAGCCCCCCCCCCGCCCCAGTTGCTCCAAGGAATCGGGACAAACCTCCCTGAAACAGCCCTCCTCGTGCTCCCTCCTCGGTTGAGAGCCAAGAGCACGGGGACCGGCCAGCGGAAGCCAGCAAACCTTGAATGCGCAGGCTTGTAAAGCTGCTGCTTGCAGCCCAGAGAACAAAAAAACTGCAAACACGCTACACTGAAACACAAAGACAACACAGAGGACCCTCTGGCGGCCCAGATGCCAAGGAGGAGAAGCTGAAGGGGGGGCCGGCACTCCCCGGGTTAAGACTGTTGTCCCTGGAAGGCTGCAGGCAGGTTCCCCCACCCACCAGCCCTCACTGGGTGGCCCCCTACAAAGGAGGGCTGGGGGGAGGCGGGGAGCTGCAGCCGCTTCCTTCCCCAAACAGCCTGTCGGAGCCTCCTCCTCCTCCTCCGTGAGTCCCAGCTGGGCGAGAAGAAGAGAAGGGACCCACCAACCCCAGCCCGTTGCCTCTCCCTCCAGGGCTCGGGCGGTCACTTTGCAGGAAGACTTCTTGCCTCTCGCCCGGCCTTGTTCCCTGGAAGTGGCCTTCAGGCAGCCACAGGCCGGGCAGGGCCAGGACCGACGTCCACAATGAGCTGCGGTCGTGGAAAGCCGGTCCCTGCCTGGCCTGGCCTTGGTGGTCGGAAGGGACAGCCCAGGGAGCCAGGAAATGCTGGGCTCCGAAGCTCCTCCTGAGGCCAGCATTTTGGGGGGGCCGTGCCCCAAGGAGCTAGTCTGCAGGCCCCGACACCCCTTCCTTCCAGCACACGAGCCCCCGGAAAAGACAGACGGGACTAAAAGCCTGCGGGGACAGAGTGGGTACGTTGTTTTTTGAGACCGGCTCATTCCTTGAAGACTGGGTGGCCTTTCTGGGAAGGACGAGCACCGCGGCGTCTCCCACGGAGAGGGGAGTTTTAAAAAGAGGAAACCGCTGGAGCCCTAGTTAGATGCTGAAGCGATTTATCACGGCCAGACCAGTGCAAAATGCTGCCTACAGGTTTTTTTTTCTTTAAAAAAAAAAGACATTAACGCTAGTAGACTAAAACGGGGCAAGGCAAGGCATCTGCTTGCTGATTTGTCTCTTAAATCGTTGCTGAAATTCTATTTGAACCTTCGTAAAAGCACCATATTCCAAACGGAAGGGGATTTGGTATGAAACGCAGGCGGCTGCCCCTCCAAAGTGCAATCTGGGAGTCTCCTAACAGTTCAAGAATTGACATCGTGCCGCTGAGCGAAATGCACCGGGGACCCAATCGGTCCTCAGCTGCATGGGGGGGGGGGGGGGGGGGGGGGGGGGACCGGAAGAAAAGTGGGCGGGGGGGAGAGGGAGTCTAGCCAGACTGACTATGCTCGGCTGAGGGGGCTCGTCTGTCCTGGAGCGTCGTCCTTCAGAGGGTCATCGGGCGCCTCTCCCTGGGGCTGCTGGGCCGGCGGCTGGTCAGGCTGGGGCTCAGCAGGGTCCGTCTCCTCCTCTTCCTTCGCCTCTTGCTCCACCTCCAGGAAAGGGGCGCGTGGCTCCTGCTCTTCCTCCTCCTCCTCCTCCTCCTCTTTGGGGCCCATGGGAGTGCCGGCGGGCTCTCCTGGGGGGGCAGGGGAGGCGGCGGCTTCTCCATCGGCCTCTGGGTGGGATGCTGGAGGACCCCCCGCTTTCGGGGGGGGCAGGGCAGCTGACGGGGGAGACGACTAAGGGAGGATGAGGTAGCTCTTTCTGCATATAGAAAAGCTTAGGTCAGGATCACAGCGGGGAGAGAAGTGGCCCCCAACAGGCCCTCCACAGGCCCCCCCTCAATCCAAGCCCCTGGGGAGCCAGGAGGAGAGGGGGGGGGCGGCTGGGGGCCTCTGCCCGAAAGCACCTCTCCCCCCCCCCCTTCTCCCCTGCTCCAGTCCAGCAATGCTGCGCCCCGCAGCTGCCCAGCTTTGCTGCCCGAGGAAGCCCAGCACCGGGCAGCCCCTGGGCCCATCCGCCAGGACCCCCAAGGGGTCCGTTTTCAAGGCATCTCGTGCCAATCCCTGGCAGCGAAAGGCGAAGGAAACCAGGGGGCTGCCCAGCTCTGGGTGCCAGCCCCGGCGTGGGGGCGGGCTGGGCCGCATCTCACCGTGGCATGTGCCACTCCAGCGCCCGATGCTCAGTTTCTGGGTTACTATAAAAGCCGATTCGGCCAATTCAGTCCTGCTGCTCTCATCTTGCAAGGAAACACGGGACTTTCCGGCATCCGCAAGCATCTCTGTCTCACCTTCCCACCACGTGGGGATCAGGTGGGGCTCTCACCTGCCAACCAAGCTCCTTCACCTTTGACCGGAAAGGTCACCTTTCAATTTAAGGAACGGTTTGGTCCAATGAATTCTCTGCTCATCCCCCAAAGGAAGAAACTGACCACGCCTTGCTCTTCTAAACCCTCCCCGCTCCCCCCACCAGACCAGAGTCCGCAACAGCAGCCCCTGAGACAGTGCACGGCTGCAGACACTTTCCTTCGGCCTGACTGATTTTATTGCTTGATTGTTGTGAGCCACCCTGAGTCTTGCGACATACTAGTTTAGTATCAATAATAGCTGGGGAAAATCCCAAACTGGATCCGAATATCTGGCGGATGACGGAACCAACCATAAAACTCCACTGCACACACCCACGGAAGGACCGCAGTGGGTCCATGCCCTCCCAGGGAAACTTCCAAGGTCAAGGGGCGGCTGTGAGGCACCAAGCCCCCCCCCTCCTCCTCTTGAACGGGACGGGAGGCTCCCGGGACTCTCCTGAGCCCCCTCGCCCCGGTCCCCTCGTCCTGCCCAGCCTGCTTGCTTCCACACTGGACCAGGTCAACTGACCATGCAGTGGCTCCCTCTCCCACCCCACCCCACCCCAAAATCAGCAGAACAGAGTCGGCCACTGTTTCCCGTGTTCCCCAGCCGATGTCAGGGAAGGAGGGGTAACCCTGGCCCCTCGTCCCCCCTCCCCACCCTCCACCCAGAGAAGCTCCCACCGCCCTCGGAAGCGGGCCCCACCACCCGGTCACTCTTAGGAAACCTTTGCTGAGACCCAACTGAAAGCTTCCCGGTTTCTCGCCCCGGGGCCGGCTATCTCGGGGAGGGGGGGGGGTGTCTGAGAGGTCCCCAAAGATCCTCTCAAAGGTCCAGAAAATCAAATTTATTTGCAGGCCTATGTTGAAAAATCAGATGCGTTAAAATCCTGGAAGCGGGGAGGGGGTCCCGAAAGAAAGAAAAGCCGAGGGCAACTCTAGGCGGGTCTGGGGGAGTCCCAGATTAAACACGCCCCCCCCGCTCCGCCCCCCCCCCCCCCCCCTCGGGTGATTTACAATTGGCCTCTGAGCTGCTTGCTGGGCAGCCGCGCCCCCTGCAGGACACCCACCCCGCCCCGCCCAGCAGAAAATGGCTGCCCCCCTCACCTCTTTCCCGGAGAGGCCTGGCCTTGGAGGAAGGGGCCACGCCCAGGGGAGTTGGACAGGAAGCGGGGAGGAAGGAGAGGCAAAACCTCCCTCGCCTGGAGGGGAAGAGCCACGCAAGAGGTCTACTCAACTTTAATCCTAGTTAGGGGCTCGCTAGATTCATATCAAACTGGTATTCACCGCAAAGCCGCTGCCCGTCCAGAACGTGGCCAGCTCCCGGCGCCACAGGGCCACGAGGAGGCTGGTGAGCAGCGTGCAGGGCACCAGGTAGAGCAGGGCCGGCTGGCCCTTCCGCATCCAGGCCAGGGCCGCAAAGGTTGCCAGGAGGCCGATGCCGTAACCTGCAGGGAGGAGGAGGAGGAGGAAGCAGCAGGTCTCTCCCTCACCTGCCCAGACCCCACCCCGCCCCCCCCCCGGGCCAAAAGATGAACAGAGGGAAGCCCCCCACCCACCCACCGCCTCTTCCAGCCTCTCCGAAGCCCCAGGAGGGCAGAGGCCCCGGCAGAGCCCCCCTCCTGTGCAGGGAAGGCCTCCTGGGCATCGAGTGACTTCCTCCCGGGAAAGGCTCCATCAGCGGGGAAGAGGCCAGCCGAAGGCCCCTTCAGGCAGAGGGGGAGGTGGCGGGGGCAGCCCACGTACCGATGGTGCAAGCTACAAAGTACACTCTGGAGGACTGGACTTGGATATCAAACCTGTGGCAATAGGCCACCAGCAGACCTGCACGGGGAGAGGAGGGCAGAGGAGTCGGCTGCCTTTCCAGAGGAGCCCCAAGCGGACCCCCAGGGCCCCTCCGCCCGGTGGGCTCCCTGAGGCAGCCAGGGACATAGACCCGGGTTCTAGGCCCCCAGCCCAAGACGGGGGCAGCCGCGAGGGCCCGGGGCCTGTTGCCCGCACAGGGCAGACTCACCCAGAGCCACTTGGCCAGGGAGGGAGGGAGGGAAAGGCAGGAGCTCCTACCTGGTACCAAGATGTCCCCAAATCCCAGGAGAGAGAAGGGCCTGTCACAGAGGGCCAGTGGGGAGAAGTTGAGCCGGGGGACTTTGAGCACCATGGGGAGCTTTGGAAACGAAAGAGGCGCCAATTCAGCTCTGCCCCCAGTTGTAGAGGAGCAGGAAACCCCTCCCCCTCCTTCTTCCCTGGCTCTGAGGGGACGAAAGGGTCAGCCCCCCCCCCCCCCCCCCAGGAGCCCAGAACGCAGGGACCAGCCCCACGGGAAGGCCGAAGGCATGTTCTTGACGGTGGCTGTAACAGCCAGATCTCGCAGGCCGGGCCGGGCGGGCTCCCCTCTATCCGGACCTTTTCCCAATGCTATCTCGCTTCCCACCCAGGGCTGCTCAAAAGGGCTCCGGCCCCTTTCGGGCCCAGCTATGCGGCCCGTCGGCTCACACGCCCCTCCCTTTGCCCCAAGGGCCCAGCCGCAGCAGCCCTGCCCCGAGGGGAAGGTGGGTCTCTCCCCTGCAGCCAGCCCCTCCTGGTGTCCTGTCCCCCCCCGGACATCTTCCAGAGCAGCGGTTGCCAACCGGTGGGGTGAGGCCCACTGGTGGGCCGTGAGAGAATTTTGGTGGGCCGCAGAGAAATCTCACCCCCAGAGCACCCTTCCAAAGCAATTAACCCAGGCTGCGCAGAAACACAAGGCCGCGCTGCCCACACGGCCCACTCACTCCTTGCCCGTCAAACTTGCTTGATAATTTTCCTTTTTCCCACCAACAGCTGTTCTGCTGTGCCGGAAGATTTAGATTAGCTAGGAACAGGAAATGGTTGGATTTCTTGCTTTCTAGCTAGTATTTAGGTCTTCGCCTCTGCTTTTAAGCACAGCCGAACCTCCCTTAGGACTGAAGGTTTGCTTGCAAGCAAATTCAATGCAGACTCACGGCAAGCAAATTTGAGAGACTGAGCTAGCCGGTGGCAGATAGATGGATCACTGAATGATTCAGTGAGCAACTCAATCTGCCTGCTTTGCCTGATTTTGGGGTAAAAGTTGCTCTTTTATAAAAAATTCAGTATTTATATAAATATTTATAATATTTACATGCAAGCCATGCCCAGCCAATCACACGACCACCAAGTCACACTCACAAATTAGGCCATGCCCACAGAACCGGTTAGTGGTCCCTGGGATCTAAAATTATGAGTTTGGTGGTCCCTGAGGTCCCAAAGGTTGGCGACCCCTGTTCCAGAGCACCCCTCTACAAGCCCCTCCCACTGCCAGCCATTGCTTGGTCAGTCAGCGCCCAGGGCCTGGTATGCCCGGGGGGGGGGGCTCTCCACAAGCATGAGAACCACAGCGGCAGCAGCCAACGGAAGAGGGGCCAAGCCTGGCACAGGGGGCCCTGCTGCCTTCTGGAAGCTGAGGGCACCTGCCTCATGAAAACCACCTTGCAACTCAAGGCTGTTGATCAGCTCTGCAGCGGTGCCCTTGGTGGCTCCTACCTCACTGAGGCCACACAGAACAGCCCCCCCGCCCCGCCCCGCCCCGCCCCGCTGCAAGGAAGCCCTTCTCCCCTGCCAGCTGCTCACAGACCTCTCCCCCCTCCCTCCCCGAGAGTCCCCGGTGAGCGGGAGGGAGACCTCTCGGAGGGGCCACACAGAGGAATCCTGCCTCCCCACCCAGGGGGCTTCCTGGAGAGCCCAGCCCCTGCGCACGGCTCCAGGGCAGGACACAAAATGACGGGGTGGGGGGAGAGGATCTGCATTCGGAGCAGGGCAGGGGGCTCCTAAGGGCCTTTGGGGTTGTCAAACCCACCAAAATCTCAGCTCTCCCAAGACCAGCTATCAACTCAAGGCCGACTCTCCCTTTCCTCGTACGGTGACTTGGGCATTCTTGGGGAACCCTAGACAACCCCCCCCCCCGCAGGGCCTCTCCCCCCTTCCTGTTTTTGAGCCATGATTCCTCCCCACTTGGCCCGGGGCAGCATCCGCTCACCTTTTCCCGAGTGGACGAGTCAGTCGGTCCAGCGGCCACTTCCACCATGATGCTCTCCCCTGTCTGAAGGGATCAGGAAATGAGGGAGGGACATGCCGGCATGGACGGCGCCCCCAACTCCCGCTGAAAACAGCCGTGTGTCCTTCCCCTCCCCCTCCCCGGGAACTGAGACCCCCCCCTCCAAAGACCAGAGCAGAGGAGCTGGCTGGTGGCCAAAGGAGAGCCCCGGCCTCGCTCCCAACCAGCTGCCCTTCAGAGGGTCTCAGGTTCTGGACCGCACGGCTGGATCTGGCAAGGGGCGGTAGGGCAAGCGGTCGGGCAAGCAGCCGGAGGGCACCTGCCCCACTTTATCGGGCCCTTCCTTCTCCCGGCCACCCCTCCACCCTCTGGCTCTCTCCGGGCCCCCCAGGCCAGGAAGTCTTCCCAGGCAAGTCCGGGGGGGGGGGGAACCCTCGCACTCCATGCCTTCTCCTTCCTCCCCCGACTGCCCCCAAAGGCACGGCAGCTCCTCAAAGGGCCGGGAGGGGGGGAGGGCAGAGCACCCACCTTGGTTAGGTACGGAGTGATGAAGACGAAGAAGACGTCATACACGAAGAGGACCAGGAGGAGCAAAGTGCAGCCCTGGAGGAGAAACACACACACACACACACACACACACACACACACACACACACACACACCCCAAGTCAGAGAGGCCACAGCTTCCCCTGCAGACTGCCCTGCCCTGGCACACGCATGCGCACACACACGCGCGCACACACACACAAACACACACACACACCCCGGGAAGCTCTGCAGGCCCTAGAGGAGCTGCCTCCATCCGTTCCTGGCCTTCTGTCTCAACCAGCAGCTGGAGCAGCTGGATCGCAAGCGCCCCTCTCTCTTTGCTCCGGAGCGGCAGAGGAGGGAGCCCCCCCCCCTGCCCCCCCCCGCAATTCTGTGCCCGCTGGCCTGCCTGGCTCAGCTTCCCCTCCCATGGGCAGCCGGGAGCCATTTTGGAGGTGCCCCTTCCTGAGGACCGGAGTGCCTGGGAAGCGCCCAGCGGCCCTTTGGAGAGGGCAGGGGGTCCTTGGCAGGTCTGCTGCCCCGCCCTGCCCCAGTCAGGGAGGTCGGAGCTCTGCTGGGAGGGAAGGGGAAAAGAGGGGGGCCCATGGCAGGCGGTTCTCCGGGGAGGGCAGGAGGCGGGTGGAAGGCCCGTCATGGCCGCCTCACCTTGAATGTTGGCAAGCGGATGGTCTTCAGCATGTAGAGGCAGAAGGCAATCCCCAGAGCGTCTTGGAGGATCCAGGCCCACCTGGGGGGGGGGGGGAGACCCGCCACACATGGCTGATCCTTCCTGCCCTGCAGAGGCCTTGCACCCCCTCCGCCACCACCCGGGCTCACTTTCTGGGCTCACGCACGGAGCCAACCGGAGTCTTCACGTGGGCTGGTGGCAAATCCCCAGCGGCACCGGACTCACTCGGTTCTGCCTCCTGCAGGGCCTCTGCTTCTGGGCCGAGGGGCTAACCGCAGCAGCCGTGCCGGAGAGACGGAGGCAGGGTGGCTCCCCCTCAAAGCACGCTGGGAAGGGGCCGGGGGCCCTGGAGTCCGGGGACTGGAGGCCAAAGCTGCTGCCTGGGGCGACCCCAGCCCCCTTTCCTTCAGCGCGTGGCCATCAAGGTTTCGGGCGGGGGAAACTAGACTTACTGGTCTTCGTTTCGGAAGAGACCCCAGACCAGGCTGACAGCAACACAGAAGGCCGCAAGGAGGAGCATCCGGACTTGGGGCCGTTTGTGGAAATAAGGCCAGTTGTTACTTGGAAGGCTGGAAGCGAGGCAGAGGCAGAGGCAGAGGCTGGGCATCGCCTGGCAGCGGCAGTGGGCACGGAGGAAGGGGAGGAAGCCAGCTGTGCAGCACCCTCCAAGCACTTACGAGGGGGCGGGGGGGGGCTTGCCTGCACCTCCCCCTCCCCCTCCCCCACCTTCTTTCGGACCTAATCTCGCAGCCCTTTAACCAGTCGGGGGCAGTTGGACATGCCGCTCCCCAAGGGAGGCCCTGAGCTACGGAGGAAGAGGCGGCTGCTCCGCTTCCAGCAGCCACAAAGGGCCGTCCCTGGCTGAACAGGGCCCACAACAAGGCCACGGGGGCCAAACCGACAGCTGAGAGGCCAGAGCCCGAAGGGGGTCCCTACGGGAGCCGCTCAGGCCAAAGAGCCCCTTCCCCACCAGAGCCACCGGCGACCCACCTACCGGCACTTCCCGAGGGGGAACCTCCGGACAAACGGGGAAAGGCAACTGTAGAGGCCAATGGAAGCGGCCAGGCAGAAAATCCCAATGATGACGTACACTGCAGGGGAAAGGGAGAGGGAGGGGAAGACTTGGGGGGAGGCCCCAGAAGCCAAACCAAGCCAGGGAGAGTTAAGAGGGAGAATTCCCCAAATGGAAACGGGTCTCGGTCCCTGCAGCCTTCTCTTCGGGCAGGGCAGGGAAGAACCCGGAGGGCCTGAGGGCTGCCGGGCACGGTGCCAGTCTGCCCGGGGAAGCCCCCGCAGGGCCTGGACAAGGATCCCCGCAGCAGACAAAGCCCGGGAAGCCCAGGCCGGGCCACCTCCCTTTCTCTTAGCTCCCAGCAGCCTGAAGGGGCCGGTCCTGGCCCAGCCTTTCCCCCCGCCACAGAAACAGGTGGGGCGAGGTGAGCCCAGAGACCCCAAGGGCCCCCAAGAGCGGGAGAGAGAGGTGGCTGCCCAGGGCTCGCCTCCTAGTCAGTACCTAGTTGGTCGTAGAAGTAATAGAGGAGGACCAGCATAGAGCAACACATGACCACAAAGACACCGATCATGACCGGAGTGACGTCCACCGTCTCGTCCTCTTGCTTCTCAGCCCCGTCGTCCCGCTTGTGTTTCATGTAGCGCCTGGAAAAGAGAGGGGTGGGTCCTCAGGGGAGGCTGGCCCCCTCCCTCCTCCTCCTCCTCCTCCTCCTGTGCCGGGAAGGCTGGGGGCTCTGGCCGTGGCTGGGCGGGGGCTGCCCAGGGCTACCTCTTTTCCACTACCCGGTCTTCCAAGCAGCCGGGGTTCTACGAGTGGATGTTCTTTGGCCGTTATATAAAAGCAAATAAATAAATGAAATTTTCAGCTTCCTTTCTGGAGGACGAGCTGGTCAACTGCTGGCTTAACACCAACTCCCTGTTCAGAAGCAAGACAGCCCCCGGGGGGGGGGGGGGGGGGGGGGGGGGCTGCCTTCTGCTCTGCTTAGGGGCCTCCTGAGACCATCAGAGGTGTGAGGATGAGAGAGCGGCGGGGAGACCGTGGGGCAGAGCAGCCGCCTCCTGCTCATAGCCCAACAGAGGCCTTTAGAAAGGGCAGGAGACCAAAACCACCGCCATCCCCCCCACCCCACACACACACCAATTCCTCCCACCCTCCAGGGCCGCGTCGTCTCTGCACTTACTTTTTCACGTCTCTGCTCCCGGCCCAGTATCCGCCAACGGCCACCGTGCCCACCGCCATCACAAAGATGATCACCATGTTGTAGTCTAGAACGGGCTCGCTGGGTGCGTACATGGCCACCTTGGCCGAGCGGCCAAAGCTCTACCGGAGAGGGAGGGAGGGAGGGAGGGAAGGGGAAAGAAAAGAGCAAACGAGTGCAACGCTGAGCCAACGTTGTTCTCCTCTGGGAATTAGTCCCAGGGAGCTCGGAGGGTCTCCCATCCAACTCCTTTCCAGGGCAGGGATCTCCTAACCAGCCCAGGCATGGGGCCGTCCGGCCTGCCTCAATAACCTCCAGCCACTGCTTGAGGAGGGGGGCTGTTCCTTCCGTGGCTTCAGAGCTCAAGTCAGGATCTCAAAGTCCCGCTTGGTCCACACTTGGGGCCAGGGAGGAAAAGCCCACCCCTCCCTCTTCCCTTCCCAGACTGGAAGGCTGCTGGTGTAACCCTCTCCAGCCTTCTCTTCTTTAACAGACCCGGGTCCCTTTAGCTACTCTGGGTAGGATTTGGTAGCTTCTAGGTCAGCAGTGTCAAACTCAAGGCTTAAATCTTGCCTGGGGTGACCTCTGGCAGCTAAACCGGGGCACACAGGTGGGTGGGCTGCGCATGGCCTCCCCCACGCCCAGTTTTCATCCTGGACGGTCTCCTGCAGCACTCTGCCAGCCAAAATGGGGCATCATCTTGACTTACAGTAATTGGGACCGGAGCTTCTGTCCTTAGGCAATGCCTGAGCGAGGCCCACCCTATTTTACGATCTCTTTGCCACGGTCAGGCTGGGTAAATGAATCTGGCTTCACCCTCCTCCTAAGTCCCCTGAGAAGGTCATCAGTGGTGGTCAATGACCCCAGGATATTGCGGCTGTTGTAAGTCCACGCCGGTTACCAAGCAGCCAAATTTTGATGTGACCACCAGAATGTTGTGATGGTCATAAGTATGAAGACTTGTCATAACTCTTCAGCACTCTCGTAATTTCAAATGGTTGTTAAATGAGTGGCTGTAAGTCGAGAATTACCTGTGGTCTCCTTCTGGTCTCTTATCTTTGGGAAGCAGCCAATCCTCACACAAACAGTTCCCCAAACAATCCACTTTTCCACAAAGGTATTTAAAACTCTTTGGTTGCCTTTTGAAATTTCCACGCAAACCCAGTTTTGACTGGTTGCCTTCTTCTATTTAAATCTTTTAAATCTTTTAGTTTACTCTTATTTTACAACAAAGTGGAGATCCACACATGAAAAAGTGCCTGCTCACTCAACCCAGTAGTGCAGCGAAACCAACACAAGTCATAAAAAGGATCACAGTACCTCAGAAACCGCCACCAGACTATTATAGCCACATGGATGGAGTCAGCACACGAACCAGCTAAAGCCGCCCCCCAAAATGCCCCAAGTAAGGCGAACAACCCAGCAGCCCCAGAGGGAAAAACGGGAGTCATCTTCCAGGTGCCCCAACGGGGACCCCAACCACTACGCAGGGCAAGCAGGCAGAAGGCTGGCAGGACTCCTCCATGAACGGCAACGACCAGCGAGACGAAGACGAGAGACGAAGACTCTTTGGTCCAGTTTCAACTGGGGAACCGTGACCCCCCTGGACCAAGCCGAGCCCCAAAAGAAAGGCCAGGGGGTTTCCAGAAGTCTGGCACTCTGACAAATGGGCCATCAATCGGACCCCCAAATGAGACCTACACTGGGTGCAAAGGAGACCCTCAGCAAGGGAACGAACTCGAGAGCGAAACGCTCCCCCCCCCCCAGCAATCAGCACCCAGATGAACTCCAAGATGAAGGTCAAGGTTTGTCGCATCCGTCACCATGGACTGTACTTTCAGCTTCCCTGTAGGACATCCCGCTCACTGCCCTGCCTAGGTACTCTTCAAATCACCCAACACCCCTCTGCTCAGCTCTTAAATAACATGAAATACATAAACACAGAGCTAAAAGAACACTTCTTCCCCAGAAACACGTGTGTTTTAAAACATACTTAATTTTTCAAAGAGAGCATACAATGCTGCCCCCATCCCAGTTAAGCAGACAGCAACAATTGTTTGTATACTGTGCCATTTAGTTTTTCTTCTGGCCAGAAACTCACCCAGGATCAATCAACCCCTCCTAAAAACACCCTGCAAGAGGCCCAACTGAGGATATAGGTTCCCTGGAGAAAGGAAGGGACATGACCCTCTCCTTGGTCACTCGTCCAGTGAGGGGGGGGCAGGTCAAGCAGCTGCAAAACATGGACTGGCTGATAGATGCGGTTACATCTCTCTTCTAAAGCAGCCCACAATTTCTGCAGGTTGCAACTATACAACTGGTCTTCTGCAGGGGTGCAGGGGGAAATCATTTCCCCCAGGCTTACCTGAGGACACTATCAGAATCAAACTAGGAATATTTCGCGTAGAATAGCTGTCCTCCTGTCTGCTTCTGCTGGGCTGCCTTAAGTAGGAACGGAAGGAACCCTGGGGGTGGGTCTCTCTCTCTCTCTCTCTCTCTCAGTAGGGCCAACAAAGTTCCCCACAGAGGAGTTACAGAAACCATCTGAGAAAAACTCTTGGCAACGCTTAACAATTCCTGGAAGGTTGATGAGACCCCAGAAAACTAGAGAACCAAGGCAGAACACTCTGCTACGTGAAGCGACGAGATCCCCTCCAAAGTGGGGGCTGGATGGTCACCTGTCCCCCTCAGTACTTTAGGACCCCAGTCTGCGAAGGAAGAGCCTACCAGTTAAAAAAGGAAGACACGCTATTTCTTTAAGCACCGCTACTCTTTTTCCTTGGGGGAGGGGGGTTTATATTCGTTCCACAATTTTCCAAGGTTTACCAATTAAATAATCAATGTTACTTTCATTGGAAAAATTGATTCTGCTTTTCAGTTTCCCCAACATTTTATCTAGAAGCACCTCTTGCTCGACTACGTGGAGGAACACCCAAACGTGCAGAAGTCTCACCTGTCCTATGTCCAGCATGTCTGCATAGCTGAGCAGGGCCACCGGGATATCAATTTCCTCATACTGACTCCGGTTACCGGCGGGGGGGCACCTGATGAGAAGAGTAGAAAGGACAGCAGCACCTAAATGCACCACCTAGGAAACATCAGCTCAATTCCTGCGGCCCGAAATCTAAGCTCACCAGCCTCAGGGCAGCTCTGTTTAACCTATATAGGCGTGGGAGGGAGATCTGAAGGTGCTAAAAATGTAACAGCACGTGTGCGTGTTTAGGAGCACAAGGCCACGGGAGGCCAAAGAGAAGGGCAACACAGACAGATCAGAACCGCCTTAAACCTTCATGCTTGGGTTGTGACCACGGCAGAACTTGCAGAAATGGCTGAATTGATATTTGATTAGGAAGGGAACAGCAGCCACTGTTATAGAAGACCAAACCTTTTAAAAAGGACTTCGTGCAACTGTAGTGGATAAAAGGGAAGGGATGATTTCTGACCCTAGTGATTCTTCAGGGTTGAATAAGGGAGAAGGGACCCGCCTGATGCAACTCAGAAGGGGGAAAGATGTGTGTAACAATGGAAAGTCACTTCTTTACTATCTTTTGCCTTCTTTTTGCTTTCTAACGTTCTGGCGCTTTCTTGCTTTCTACCTTTTCACTTGGTGAAACGTTTCCTTAACGAAGACACTGCAAAGGGAGGGGAAAAGAGGGGGGGAGGAGGAGGAGAGCCCCCCCT